ATCAATTTAAAACGCGATAGCTACAACAAGATTTCTTCATCAGGAAGGACGTGATCACTTAAGATAAAATCTGAAATATGATGATGCATGAAGAGTTTGATGTAAAACGTGATGATACGAATCTATCTCTTTAAGCGGTGAAATTGAATCTGTAGTTTTATGACCGTAGTTTTATTATTGTTTATTGCAGTGAATACTAATGGTTTAATTAATTCGATTTGTTTTCAATACGGCTTATCGATCCCAGGTTGATCATTGCCTTCCGAATTAAGCTCGCTTTCTTATCGAATCTGCGGTTCACCCCCGTCGATCTAAACGGTGGATTTAGGAGGTTGCATGGCTTCAGCCTATTGCCGATCTCCTTTTTGCGGCTTCTCCAGGGGTAACTTTTCCCAAATTAAGTTTCCGCGAACTAACAGCTTCTAAACGCACCGTCATCGATGAAACATGCTATCACCTTTTATTACCACGTCCACGGGGAATTTTCCCGGGACTGGAAAACGGTCCCCCGATGTGTTGTCGCGTATTACCCGCCCGTTCTTCCTTCCCAGCCGATTCGTTAGTGCGTTTGTTTTCCGTGAAACAATGATGGGCGCGCGGGATAATCGGATGCCGCGTTGAACAACGGGCAGAACGAGGAAGGTAACTAGGGTAGGGACCTAAACAAATCCGGAGGGTAGAAAAACCGTGTGAAGACGAGTTCGTGGAAAGTCCCGTACATGGAAGCCGGTATCGGACGTCGTAGATGCCCGAGTTCTCGAGTACCCCGGAACCCTAGCCTCCTTTTTTCGACCCTCGTTGCGCTTACCGCTCCCCTCGCGACGAATGGACCCTGATGAAGGGGTCACGGCCGAATCGAAGGGCGGTCTTCAGACCCATGGGAATTTATCTTGTCTCGCAAAATTCCTCTTGCCTCTGGCCTTCTTCGAAAACACAACTGACCAGCTATACGTTTAATGGAATTCATTTATTACTAATTGTAACGGAAGTAATTTTCCATCTCCTCATCATCATCACAATTTCTTTTAATTCAAATTTGAAAATTTCTAATAAAAAACGCTTTGGTTTCTGAATTGAGTCGCAGTGTCCCATCAGGCAAACACGTGCTTCGCGGGATGTGATTAAGGAATGTCACGTTACCACAGTCAGGGATTTATTGTAGCAGTTATAATAAATGTTCTAAAATTCCTCCCTCTGCAAGAATTTAGGCTTCCATTCGTCGAATTAATAATTGTCGAACTCTTTCAAATATTCCAACTGTATTAGAAATGATATTAAATGCACTTTGAATTCATTCCCAAAGCTCATCTTCTATCGTATTTTTATAAATTAATTGTCTTTATTTCATATTTCATTCTTTAAATAACTTAAAGCGGCCACTAAATCCGAAGTCCGTTCCATCGAGGTTTATTAAACCCTTTTACTGTCCCTACCAATGTAATCTTCAGCCCTCCTTACGTCAATTGAAATTTGATTTCACTTCACGATCCGCGTTTTACGTAGTTCCTTTTATAATGTGACACGGTGTATTCTCAATGCACGTACGATCGGCGGAACGTCGCGTCGCGTGCTCGTTGAATGTGGGTCGCTCGTGACAAAGACGAGGTCGAGACGGTGCTTTGTCGTTCGGTGCCGGCTTGCTTCTTGAGATAACAGCTGACTTCCGGTGGCTAGAAAGCGCAGTCAACTTGTCCCGTAAAGTTCGTCGCGCGGCGTGTCCCGACGTCGCCTCGTCTCGCGTCGATCGCGTTTATTTAACGATCGTTTATTGGCGGATACGTTTATACACGTACACAACGTTCTGGGAAACGTTCACTTCGCGTACGATCAATAACCGCGAATTATGCTCGCGATTCCAACTTCCACTGCGTTGATTGAATTTCTGCTACTGTTCAAAGTAGATAATATAGACGAAATCGTGAGAAATGAAATTTAGCAACGTCTCTTCACGCTGGACTACCGATTTTTTTATATACAATGCATTTCTTCAATTAAAACAAGTCATTTTGACTGGTTTGGTAATTCTAATGTTAACTGTATCCCATTAATAGAAGAATTCCGAAGCTTATCTTGATTATCAACATTCCAGATCTTCACAACCGATAGCAATGGAATTTTATTTCAATAGTCGGCGTCTTAAGTTGATAAGTCTCGTTTTCCAGCTCTTAACAGGAATGCGTAATATACTTTTTGTACATTTTGCGTTACACGGAGTTAACTACGTCCTTAAGATAGCTGCTGCCCTACTATGTTAGTCAAGATAAGGCTTAAAAATAAACAGCTACAAATACGAGACTTCTGTATTAAAAATCCATAAGACGAATGTCCCAATTTCTGCTCACGTTGCAATTTTCATACTGGCTTAAGATTGTAGAAAAAAGGCGATGAGTATATAGAAATTATGATTTCAATTTTCAATTAAACAACTAGACGTTTTTCATTTAGACAACAGCTACTTTAATTAGATTATACAACTGCGGGCAAAATAAGCAGAGAAGTGATTGACATTATTGATACGTTCTAAAGAATGCGAATACCTGTCTTCATACGATTTCTTTATTGTGTCCAATTTTATTCCCGCCTGTATTTTTATTAATTTCATTTAAAGACGAATTGCATCATTTTTCCACATCGATTATATTTCTGTTCTGAAATTGTTAACCAAAATTTCATGGACGCTATTCGCTTGGAATTGTGCGTGAACTACGTATACATAATTGTCCAGCGTTATGTTATTGAAGTAATCACGGTTAACGGAGCCGTGGCTTTAATGTCAATAATGAGAATGGAGCAACGCGATGCAAACGTTGGCACCGGGGAAATTTTTTTCATGCGGCTGTAAACTATTTGATTAATTAGCGAAACGCTTGAGGTGGAAACACGACGAAATCGTTACAATAGAAACGTAGCTTCGACGATTGTTATAAAAATGTGTGTGAAGAATTTTTCTTAATTAAGTACCTGAAACTTTTTAACTTTGCACATGGCAAAAAATAATATACGTGCATGGAAGTATATAAATAGTAACAGTAGCTATAATCATACTGCTGCAAAGTGAAGTAAAGTGGAGGGCGAAACGCGAAGTTTTCGACGCGATTGCGAGCGTTACCCCCGTGGCAAATCGACTTTCCCCTAAAATCGAAACCAGCTCCCACTGGTCACGAAAACACCGTCTTCCCTATCGATCTTACGAGCCCATCCTGAAGCACGAACATGCGCACCAGCGGGAAGTTACGAGTTCGGGTGTTGTACTTGAAATTTGGGCCGGAAGGGGTGCTGGGTCCACGTCCGCCGTATCATCCCTCTTACGCCCGCGACAATTATCGATCGCAATAACCGTCCTGATGAAAAAAACGAAGATAGAAGCGTACTTGGAGCGAACACCACGTGCTCGAAGTATCTACGAAGTTTCCCGGAAGAGAAGAAACTCGGCGCGTTTATAGTTTCAGCGATCGTACCAGCGTCGTCGTCGACGACGTCGGCGGCGGCCATGTTTGCGCCGGGACGGTAGGCGTTCACGGGCGGTACCATACCTCTGATCGTTCTCCAACGACTTTGGAGAACGGCCGTTCCCCACCCTTGCTCGTCCGTTAAACTTCTGGTGGGGAACCGCGAACGATCTTCCGTTGGCGCCTGTTCTACCCCTCACCACGCGAACTTTCCTCTCCTCCGTTCTGATCAACGGCACCGTCGACCTACCGCGCCCGAGCTCTCTCGCACTCGTATCGTCGTCATATCTCGCTGTGGCGATCTCTTTCTCACCTACCTCCCACTAGGCACGACTCTCCGCGTCGCGTCTACCCGTTCACGACGGAAGGGGTAACGTTTCTCCCACCACTTAGACGGAACATTCGCGAGTAGGGGGAAATCTTACGAGGACGCCAAACAGGAGGATCGAACTTCTTGCCTATCTTCTTGTCTTCTTACCGTCCTTCTTCATCTTTTTTCCTCTCGGTCCATTCCATCGATTCTCCACGTTTCTGTCTTACCCCGTCCCAATAGCATGTTATTACATTTTGCGTTTCACTCGTTTTTTTTTTTCTTACGCTTGTCTTGGATTTTCGGCATTCTTCTTTCTCGATAAGCAGCCACCCCTCTGATAGTCATTGACAACCACTGAAATTGCAGTTCTTTCTGAGAAAAGTGCATCAGAGACTGAGGAGTTTTGTAATTAAGGTAATTGTCTAAATCAAAAGTATTGAAAATTGTTTGTATAAAATTAATATAGATACCAAAGAATATGGGTGCTAAACCTGCACCGAGAAATATCAGACATAATTTTTTAAAAATTAATATTTATTATCGAAGATAAGAATCTTCACTTTCTTATCATCAACTATTTTAAATGTGCACGGTTCATGTGAGATGCGCAAGTAATAGGTTCTGAAAGAATCAGAAGCAATCATGAATCATTGTAAAAAAATCACGATGATTCTAAACGAACGTGGTCAGATCACGAGTGATTTGAAAGTAGCAGTTCTATCCATCAATAATTCTGTGCCTCGTCGCCCCTTCGGTGCACTGCGGCGCCTACCACTGGTCCATCTTTCTCCTTGTTAAAACTTCTTTCTTCAAATTCTTCTCTCGCCCCTTAATTATCCATCCTGATATTTGCATTCGCCCCGCTCGAGAAAATGTAATTTTCGTTGAGTAAACCTTCCCCTTTCTTTTGCCACTTCTTCCTTTGTTATCCGCGCCTTAATAGCTTAACGAGGATTTATACTTCGCACAGAATGTGTTTTATAAATTGCCCGTTTCTTTCTTTGCATAGTCGATCGCAATTGCGAGAAACGGAGTTCAAGAATTTCTGTTGACAATTGGTCAATGAAGAAGTTTTCGAAATCCAACTGAATTTGGTTCATTTATGTAGCCAGAGACTGCTCACAGTTGTATGAGTCATAGAAATTTTTTATACGTCCTTTCGTTGCATTCGTACAATCCTTTCCCATTTAATTGAGATGTGCAAATTGCATCTAAGTTTTACTTCTTTTTTGTTACAGACAGAGAATTGGGATGATATTGGTGGAGGTATTTCGCACTGCCGCTAACAATAATACAAAACTTGATGTCGACGAGCTAATGATGCAGCAAATCGTCGAAGATCCTGGTAAGTCACAATCCTTTTCCTCGTTATGCAATCATAAGTATGGAAGGTTAATACAAACAATCGAAAGTAACAAAGTAAAGAATTGCAACAACATTAGCATTTATAAGAAGCAAAAGAATAGTCAGCCTGATCGATTAGTTTACTTTCAATTATCAAGTATAGACATTGATATTAGTATTGAAGCTGAAGCTAATATTAGTATGATTAATTGCAGTATTAAGGATATATTGGCTATACAGTCAATCCCAAACGTTTATGCACNTACTTTTTAGCACGTAGCTATTTATTATTAGCATTATTCTTCAGACGTCTGATTTCTTTTTAATTAGAGGAAATGCGTTTTTCTAAGATACATAAACTTTTGGGATTGACTGTATAGCCAATACATCTTTAAGTAATTCATCACATAGAAACGAAAGTTCTTCGCAATGCATATGTTTAGTATTTCCAGAATACACCTATTGCTAATTTTACAAATAATAAAGGATTGGAAATACTTCTGAGCCAAATCCTTTGCACATCGTGCACGTGATTTGTATCCTGTTTTAACGCTTTTTATTTTTATTTACTGCTTTTTGTTTTTGCTTTGGCTTTATGCAACTAGCTAATGTCAACAAGGTTTTAATCCTTTCACGATTGACAAATTTTATATGCACGTAGCTGTAATATTTCATAGTTTGTTTTCACGCAAGAGAGAAAAATGTGTATAAAGTCTCTGATGGTTCAGAGATATTTCACTGGACATTTCCATTTTGGTAGACAACTATTGTAATAGTTGGAAAACATTTCTATTTGCACTAAATTTTAAATAGAATTTTCTGTGTTTTTTTTTAGGCAACGAAAAGATTGACAATTTGTACGTTGCTTCATCTGAAAAATCGATTGTTGCACTTTATTTTAATCTCTAAGGCACATTCCAATTGTATAAAATCTGAAATTCACATTCATAATCGCACATTTAAAAGATTCCAAAGAACAACGAGACTCCCGATCTTCATTACATGTTCTAGATTTCATAAATACCTAAAAATATAATTAAAACCTTATCTTGATTTGCAAAGCACCCCGTAATAAAATTTAAATTAAATATACTATTTTGGCATGTATAGAAATATCAGGCGAGTATGATAGATATTTTTGCACTTGTAGAAATTATTAAACACTAGATTGAAGAAAAACAAATGCAGGATCATTGATATCGTCACTATTAAAACATCTAAATTCGTTCCTACTTTATCTTCTCTAAATTCAGCCTCAGAACTCTACTGAGCAGAGAAAAATGAGGATCCATTAAACAACGCTACTTTACCCGGTATTAGAAGAGACATTCCAAAAGCTTCGACTGGTGTCTCGCGTCGCAATAGATCCCTCGGAGAAACATATACTAATCGTCAACGAGCCACTTCCGTCTTGGTTCGACGTAGGGAAATTGGACTGGGGTACGTGACGAGCGACAGTCTAAAGAAAACAGGGTGCGTTCGCACTCCCCTTACACCCAAAAAAGGAGAATTCCTTCTTAGGCGGTTTGCCATTTGTTTTCCCTGCCGCTTCCCCGAACGAAAAACACCGACACGAACATCGGTGAGGGGATACGTAGACGATGGGGAAAGTTTAAAAATAGAAGGCCCAGGGCGCCTTCATTTTGAGAGAAGACAGAAGGTGTTCCGGGTTACACCGGCGTGGCAAGGTAAATGACGAGGAGGAGAAGCCAGCCGGGGTGGCTATTGCTCCTGTACGAGGTGACGACAAGATCGTCCCTGCTTCCGGTGCAGCACGCGACACGCTGGGAGTTCCTCCTTTCCATATGCGTCCGGTATTTATTTAAGATCGTGCAGTATGGCTTACTTCTTCGTCCCAACAATTTCTTCTTAATTGGCGCGAAATTTTGAAACAACGTTTAATAAATGTGATACTTCTGTTGATTTAAATTGTAAAATTTAATTATGACATCGTAACATACATTGTAGAAGTCCGAAAATGGGTAAAGAATTTCATACACTTTCGATAATATGATTAAATGTACAAAGACTCAATAAATTACAATCTGTCATTCGACATAAGAATTCAAGATGTAATAACTTCTTTTAATAGCCTCGCAAAATTTCTAAAGTTTTCTACAGCGTTTTATTAATATAATGACTCTTCAAAATTTCAATGCTTCGTCATTATTTTTATTCATGTGGTCAACCTTAATTTTCAACAAACGTGCAGAACGTAGTAGTCAAATAAGATTTGAGGAAGCTTAGTTTGACACACTTTCAAAAGAGAAACTTCCTAATTGCTTAACGCGTTCAGCACCATGCATAAGTACAAAAGAATATAAGGAAGGTACGAGTGACAAGAACAGGTCAAGGTCGCATTTATATTGCACTGTTTGCTCGCACCGCAAGTAGGGCTCCTTTTGTGATCGCAAATTTTGTTTCGGTGAAACACCGGATTATTAGTCAAAGGATTAACCGTAGATTAGCTCAGTGGAAACTTGAGGCAATGGTGCGTAAGCCGTTTCAAAAATCATTCTTCCTTTCGCCTTCCGTGAAGATCAGAAGGATCAGCGACATTCTTGACCAGCTCGCAGAACCGGGAAGGAATGTTCAAAGGTCATAACGTTCTGTCGATCCATGTGAAATCCTAACGCAACCGGACGAGGACAGAGAACGAGGGATGGATCTTTGAAAAAGCAAGCAGGCAACCAACCCCCGAATAAAGTGGCAGCGGCGGTGCGGATCCTTCGGCGAAAAACGTTTTCTTTTTACCTGGACCCGGTTCGGGGAAACATGGAGAATGACGCACCACTGCATTTTCATCTCACTAATGGCTCCTTTCTTTTCTGAAGCCTTCGGAAATACTTTAAGACCCGCTCGACCTCTGCGGGACCCCGTCACGTGAAACAAACGTGCGTCCCCCTTTTATGTATTTCCATGGCACCGCCGCTGTGGCATTCCCATAATACACAGTACCCGACAAAGAAAACGTACGAATTGCAAATAAACTTCGATCGCGTACCTCAGCACTGCGAACATAATTTTCGAACGTTAACACTAGGACTAGCAAACCAGTCAGAATGACTGGTTCTGAGTGAAGAAGTACGTGTATATAAAAAGAAGTCGGTGGTTCTAGTGCCAAGGGGATGGACTCCGATAGCAGCGCGATAAGCCAGAATGTCAATGTTATCCACTGATCTGGTAAAAAATACGGCCATTCGATTCTACGCCCTTATTTCCCAGAAAATCAGAACAAAATTCGTTTCAATACCTCGTTTAAGCTTCATTCTACGGCGCTAAATAATTTAACAAATTGAAAATTAGATACAAATTTTTATTACATTGTCCTAGAGCAGTGAAAGTTGAAATTATATCCTAAATAAAAAATTTACTAATAATATTCTGAAAATAGAAAACAGTTCTTCTTCTGTTTACGAAACTACATACATGTGGCGAGGAGATCTGATGTGTCCACTCTCCCCGTCAATTTAACCAAGGAAGAAGGACGCGTGTTCCGTCCTCTTCAATAGATATACTTTTCTGCTAGAGGAAGCAGCCCTTCCAAAAATACTCGGAGGGAGAAAGCGCGCATGTCGCGTGCCCCCGATTCCTGGCTAAATTTTCCTTCCTTCCTTCCTTCCTTCCTTCCTTCCTTCCTACGTTCTTACCCTGGAAGATATTCGATCGGCCCACGGAAAAACACCGATGTCGGGGCACGTGTTACGCGGGCGCAAGATGTTACTAAAAATAGATGCAACGACCGGTGTGACACTCGTCGAATCGTGCATCTGGGTGCACCTTTTCTCGCCAGTTGCATCCTTCGAGAGGCGGCTGCCCGTGTGGCACGCGCTCACGCACGCTTCCTCTTTCAACAAGCTTGTCTATCGACGGAGGGTCGGCAATCGTACTAGCGAAGACAGAATTTTAATAACTATCTTGTCAAACGTAATTTCCAGCTCTAGATAACATGATGTCCCTCTTTCATCGTTTTACTCCTAGTCGATCACGTATTTCTTTACAACAGAATGAATTGATTGTAAGTTCTATTAGTTTGCGAGATAGAAATCGAACTGGTTAAGTACTATGGTTCTTCTAATCCTGTCTGTTGTTAGGATAGTCACGTAATTTTTCTAATGTTCGTCGTTTTCGATGATCTGATTTTTCGTAAAATTTTTCACGTTTTTTCCAGTCAAAATGACAATCATTCTTCTATTCTACTGACGACTATTCTTCTGAAAAAAATAGCCAATTGTTTTCCCAAATCGAAGGGATTTGTTTTCATAGACCAAGAATCTGCGCCTCTCTGTCTTTCATCATGAATTCGATATGACCGATACCAGTGATCGATTTAGCCATATCTAGGTTCGTCTTCACGGAACTATCAACAGAAGCCAAACTATACATACGTATATTGATCACGAGCGCGTTTCCATCTACCCCATTGCGGACAAAGAGCATCCCCAGCAATTCCATTATAAGCTAATTGTTTGAATTACGCGGTGACCGATGAATTCGATAGGTATCGTGCATGGTATACCACGCCGATCTGTCCTTTAACCCCTTGCCCTATGATTTTTCCTGATTAATATTAGATAATATTGATTGTTCACCGTTTTACTGATACACGTCAATTTTATCTAACGATCTTTCACGACAAAATTTATTACCGAGCGTATAAATTGACGGATGCTATGTACAATTTATAACAGTTGGTAGAAATTATGTTAAAAAATGGAGATACGTTGGTTCGGAGATGCATGGACGTAGATTGGGAAATGGAGGAATGTGAGGATAGGAAAAATAATTATAAACCAAGTCCATTTTTTATAATTTTAAATGAAATTTGTATAAATTGGTAGATAGATGATGTGGAAAATGCAGTAAAAGTAACTTTTTGAAACCGCGTATGTAAACGATTATTGACAATGGAACAGCCTTCGAGCGAGACTGATGGTCGAGCTGAACGGAGTTTTGTCGAAAGGAGACGGAAAACGGCGTGGGTAAATAATCGGCGACGCTTAATCCTGAAGGAACGCAGCGGGATATTTTTGGCGGGATCTCGTGTCTCGAACAGAAGGCGCGCAAAGATGGAATGGGCGGGGTAGAGGAGATAAGACCCAACTCGTGATTAATGGACCAGGGCTGCGCGGTGCGGCGCGGAGTACAGGAAAATGGGGGAGTCGAGCTCCTTGTTTGCGTTTCGTCGGGCGAAGACACCGAAGGGCGGACGCGTAGGCGAGAGAGGAAACGATGGTGGAAGTCGTTGGGAAACGAGAAGGGAGGGAAAAGCAAGCACGTGCTACAATCGCGGGCCCTACGCCCGGGAACGAACAAACCCCGTTTCGTCGACGGCCCCTACCCTTCTTTATCCTGATCTCCAGTTGGGCCCCGGTTGTACGGTGGGGGCAGATATCCTCAAAAAATCCCCACCACGTCCTGGAAAAGTCAGACAAATCGGGAAGGTGCATTTCCCGCGGTCGACAAATCGTCACGAACCCTCAGTCGCACCCACGCTTTTCAACGCTGAACGTGCTCTTCTCGTTCTGTGCCTCCAGTTCGAAAACTGGAACTTAAGAATTCTCTTCGTGGGTGTTCTATATTAGAACAGATGCCGTGTGGCACCGTGCGTTATTATAAGTATTTCTTTACGGTGAAAGTGGTGAAGTTATTTGATTGTCTTGTACTTTTTCTGTGTTTTTTCTCTGTGATGTTTCGTATCTGCAAGTTAGGGTACTTAAGTTTTGGACGCCTGAGGTTCCTTACAGAACTTTGGCGCCAATTCTGCTTCCCTTGCATCGGGTTTCCCGAAGCCGCGAGCAAAGTGGCTAAGTCTGCGATAGTGAATTGTAATCGATTAAATATTAGAGAATAATCGATATAATCAAGTACGTTAGAAGGTACGTAAATATCGTTAATGAAATATTTTCCTCTTTGGCTGCGATTAAAATTAAGAGAAATGAAGCAACAGTTTGATAATTAATTCATCGAGCGCGACGCATAGGAATTTTCGAGCAAATTAATAAGGGGATGTTATTTTTCCAACGGTGCACCTGTCCGGGGAGCCGACGGTCGTTCTACTAATGACCAACCGGGAGATCCTCCGGTTCTTTATGGCCGTTCCGAGGCTGGGAAGGTGCGAGTTTTCCTAATCAGCAGGGGCGCCGGGTTGCGACGCCTTTCTTTCTTCCTTCATTCAGGTATTTCCTCGAAACCGCCCGTCGGGGGAATAAAAACGGCCAAGGTCGAGAAAACACCGAAGAATGGCTGCCCTCCCCTCCATCCGCCCGCCTCTCCCTCCGGTTTTTCTCATTTTCGACGCACGAATGGATACTCGGCGGCCGATCGTAACTTGCAAAGGAACGATGGGATTCTTCCTTAGAACTCCACAAGTTGTTTTCTCGTCCGCAAGATTGCTCGAACTGTTTGCCTGTTCCTCTTTTTTTGTTCCGTTTAATTTATTTTTGATAGGAATTTTTTTCCGACGCCAATGACGTTAGATTCGCAGAAAGAGATTTCAGCTCGAGACAAGTGAATCTGCTGTGATTAATTGTTTGGAGAAATCGGACGAATATCGACGATACAATCGCATTGATTAAAATAAATTTGCATCAGCCCGGCCTCTTATTGAATTTTTGTTAATAAGCTACACTCGAGTAGGAAATCTTTGCCACAGGTACAATTCCATTAAATTAATGACAGAAATAACCCTGGATAAAATGCTCTGTAATAAAAACCAAATCAAAACTACTCCTTGTTAAAGGATAAATCATGAGTCATCAATGATTGTGTAATACTTTGTAAAGCAATACTAATTTAAGAGTAATATAAAAAAGGTTTCAGCGATTTACAATAATATGAAAATTCGACAATTGTTTGTTTCAGACACACAAGTTCGGTTGGATCTGATAGAGCAACTACCACATGTGGCGACGATATGCCACGAATCACCGCACCTATTCGGAGACCTTCACGATCATCTGCTCGACATCATTATCAAATACCTGCGGGACGAAGATAATCAGGTGAATATTTTTTCCACGTTCCCATCCAGTCAGCCTTATAATGTCTAGAATATAGAAAGATTATCGTACATCCATATAACAAAAAATACTATTACTTTCTCCTTTGAGTCATGAAATCATGTCAAATGTTATTGATACTCATTAGAAGCTGTTTGATCAAAAAGCAAGAAGCAAACATTTTACAAACATTCTTTACACGTTCCGCGTTTATCTCTATTACGATTAAAAATTTTATTCGATAGCTTGCCTCTTTCGGAATGTACGAATCGTATTTTTTTATCCGTGTTACATAGGCCCTATTGACGAATTCTCTTTTTTTTGTTTCTCTGGTTGTGTCAGGTACAAATGACGGCTCAGACAGCGGTGCTGACGCTAACGAAGAAGGGACTCCTCGACAACCAGACGATCGAGCACAAACTCTGTCCCGTGATAGAAACCCTCTGTAGGTCCGTCGATTTCTTTAACACTGCCATCTCCGTAAGTTTCCATATTTTTTTTCGTTTTTTTTTCAAACTTTATTTCCTTTCGTTTAACGTTCGATGCTATTTTATGATTACACAAACGCGTCAAAGCGCCGTTATGCTCTGCATTCATAAATTGTACTTCTTGGGCGTGGAAATTAATCGTCTACTGCGTTACACTAGGATTATGATGTATGAGTCGCCTATATGATATTGGAAATAGAATCGTGTTTCTAAATATTAGGAGAGTATATTAGTATAAACCTTAAAACGTAATTATTGTTCTTAAAATATAAATATAAAAGCAGTCTGTGTATTAGAGCCTAATATTTATAAACGCGGTAATTTAAACAATGAATGTCGAGGAAACTGACGCCTACGCCAAAGACGTATCTTCCCTTCGTATATATTTCACTTCTATTTAATATTCTGTCGAGGATATGGGTTAACGAGTTTACCCATTTTAATGCGATCCAACGCGGCACGCTTGGATCATCAGTGTTTAGTGAAAGACATACGTATGTAAAGAATTGCTATTAAAGGTAAACGTGTGTCATTTACTGGGTGCGAGGAAAACAAGGGGGCGACCGGTCTTTCCGCGCGCAGCATTCTTGATCGATTCGACGCGTCTTTAGCGTATGCATAAGATGAGCGTAGCGCGATTCGGATTAGAATTATCGTGCGCATCGGATTCTCGCGGACGTTTATGGCCATTCGTTGGTTCGTACGTACCTTCGGGACGAATTCCGTCTGAAAGACATGGGTAGTGAGATGTTCTCACGCTATCGCGTCTCACTATCTTGTCTTTCATCCGGCGTCCGTTCTGCTGCAACGTTCGCTAGCCTACGGAGATGGAAACGGGTACTCGTAGAAGAAAAACAGGTCCTCTCTAAACGCGTCAAGCGCGCGCCAACTTGATCAAGACATTTAAACGTTCCTGGCAATAAATTTCAAGAGCGGTCTTTACTGTTTTTACCAAAGGAAGAACAAAAAAGAAAGAGTGAGAGAGAGAGAGAGAGAGAGAGAGAGAGAGAGAGAGAGAGAGAGAGGGAGGGAGGGAAAAAGAAGAATTTCCGACGAAGAACAGGGACATGCTTTTACCATCAAAGTTGGTTTGTCATAGAGATCGACTATCACAGCCAGCTTTGATGAGCAAAATTGTGTCCGTCCTCGACGGAGAGAGAATCGAACTAACACGACAAAAAAAGGAAATCATCGGAAAACAAAGAGAGCAAAACGGAAGGGCGGAAGGGAGACGTGGAAATAATTACCAGAGAGAAAGATAGAACGGAAAAGTCGAGCTCGCCCGTGTCTGTGTCCTTCGCGGAATTGTAGGACGACGGAAACGAGCGATCGACGAGAGGAATACGCGACCGAGAGCGGAGAGCGACACCGAGAGAAATGCTCGGCCGAGAGACGGAGAGAGACGCAACGAATCATTGTACCAAGGCAACGGCACCGAGATGAAAATACCTTTTGCGGTCCGATACATCAAATTGGTTGTGGAATGTTTCGAGTCATATCACAGCCATTTTGATGAGCTTGGCCCGCAGAATCGATCGTCAAGGAAGCGTGTTTCCGTGCGCGCTGCGAGCGAGTGCACTCAGCGCACCGCTTAATTAATAATCACCCACGTCGCCCGGTAGACGCTTACGAGGACGCGCGACGCGCCTTTCGCGATATATCGTAATGCCGTTACATTCGTTCTTTCTCATCCTCCTTGGATAGAACTATAGTCGATCGTCGATCTTGATCGAGAAGGCTAAAAGAATACTAGCTGAGTGGAACCCGAACGGCATCGTGGAGGAGGACGAGAGAAACGCGATCCAATCGTCAAATTGGTTGTGGCGTGTTGCTTTTCAAGATTTCATATCACAGCCATTTTTGACGATTTGGATCGCCGTTTTTTGCGACGTAATGCCTTCCATCCGAGGCGATGCAACTCATCACACGTAGACGGTGTGCTCAATAAAGAAATATAAAATCTACGTATTACAGGAAGACGTGGGTTTGTTCGTGATCGCGGATTATAGAAGGAGAAGAGAACGAGGAACAGGTGCGTCGCTCACAAAGTGGTTGTGATATGCTGATACGAAACGATCATATCACAGCCAGCTTTGATGAGCGTTGCGCCGTGTCCAACCAGCTGATTTCCAAAAGACCGACACGAAACGCCATTGCTTTTAATAATGATTTCTATGAATGCAGTGGAATTACATTTATAGGAACGAAATTTTAATGAAAATTACTATTTAGAGATCATTTTCTTTTGCTCGTATTCTTCTACATAGCTCATTACTTAAGGATGTATTGGCTATACAGTC